TTTTACGTAAAAGCTCCCATAGATAGGTTTGTCATTTTACTGTACTGACTTTTAAATGTCCGTCTTTTCTTCTTTTTTCATGTCCACAGCAAAAAGGAAGGCATCATCATGCAGCGTAAAAATGCAAGGTGTTATCATACAGCATAAAATTGTATGGCGTAGGTGTTGCATAAAATTTCACTTCTTCCCCATCTTTGCGAGATATACCTCTCGAAACTAAAAGGTAGGGTTAGGTGTTAGCTCACGAGTCGACAGGCACGCCGAACCATTCAGGAACAGGCACTTCTTGATTGGAAGCAAATACAGTAGTTAGTGTACTTACTAGCTTACCGGACAGTTAGGCTGTCGTCCACCCCCTGTATAAAGAGCGACGAGACAATGTCACACCTATGTAGTCACGTGCCCCCAGTCCTGAGACACGTGTACTCATCTTGTGGACAAAACTGCTGAGAGAGTTGCCGATTTTCTTCGTTCTCACTGGATTTGGATATATGCCTCCAATAATCCTGAGACATGTATTTCTATCTTGTGGACATCGAGTATTACGTTTTGACAAGTGAATTGTCAAGAACTCTATCCCGGTTACGAATTGAAAGCCAAAATGTTTAGGCTGCGAAAGCCAAAAGACTTCAAAAGTCGAACGGCTGCGAAAGCCGAAACATTCTTTTTATCATCTTTTCAAATTGTTAAAATCAGGCTAAAGTTTCAATGACGTATCGAGGGACTTTAGACCAACGATGACATGATTGGGAGGAAATCATCCCCTTTTAATCCTTTTTAAACCGATCTCTTCTCATGACATGACATCACCCACAACACCTTTACTTGTAAAAGCGTTCTACAAATGCAAAGGATCAATCTAGATTCTTTAGCGCGTTAAGACATAGAAAAAATACTTTTTTCTAGCCTTAATAGCTACTTGTTTCAAACACTTAGCGAATCAAGGATCGTTTCGACATCCTTCACATTTCTGAAAGATTCTCTATTCTTTGAGAACTTCGCAGAATAAGTCTCGGATTTATTTCCTTAGCTACTTTGATCAGCGTCTATCCTATACTCGAACAAAGTGGTGGATAACTATAGACATCTACTTTTAGCCTCCTATCTTGACAGGAAGTGTAATGACGATAAATAAAACCATCTTCGTGCTGGATCAAAGTAAAGAATACTTATGGATGACTGGCTAAACCGCAAAGACACAAAAGACTAGCCTAACCCAAAACAAATACAAAACAAGGTCCAATTAACTAAATCCGATCATAATTAGGCTTAAGCCCGTGCTTAAGACCCAATAATGACGGATTTAGAGGCTCCTAGGTCCAATTAACTAAATGCGCTCGCGGAAGATTCAGAATTTTGTAAAAATATAGAATCGAATCTTACCATAATACCGCGCGCAAGACATTCAGTTGCGTTACCCATAGCAGCACAACTAAATCACTTGCGCTAGGATGCCGCGCGCAACTCATCTAGATGCGCGCGACACCTGCTGCGGCAGATTGCTTAAAACCCTTACTGTACCCATTCCCTATAAATAGAGGCTTAATACGTGGCTTAAACACACAGAAATTAACCTAAAATCCTGGTAGAAACTCTTGTGAACTTGTGCTACAAAACCCTCTTGTCTTAAACACTCACCCCTCTTAATCTTTGTTACTACGGTGGAGGTTCCCGAACAAGAAGGAGTCCATAAGTGTTCTAAACGGAGATCTAGCAAAGAGAAGTGGTAAATTCCCGAGCACTTAGATAAATCACATCTACTTTTCTTGTGTAAAAGAACTTTAATCAATAAAATAGTGTTGTTTGACCACTCTAAAAGGATATTTAATTAATCGATTCCACATAGTATCTTGTGTTAAATAAGATTAGAATTGAATAATTAATTGATTGATTGATCACCTAAGCTAAGGCGAATCTTGTATACTTTTTCTCCTTTCACGAATTTGAATTAAATAAAGAATAACGACTTTGTAATGTAATTCCTACGTGATTAATACTTGTAAATAAAATCAACTAACTTAGTTTTAGGTATCACGTTGCATATATTGTTTGGTGATGAAATTGTAAAAAAGGAAGAGCTAGTAGAGGTCGCACAAGGGCTAGAATAGCGATTCTACTTTAAAGGGAACGTTATTTTAGTATCCTCGCTCCCGAACTCATTTCTGGTTTATGTAGACCAATTTAGGCATGGGTAAACTTACAATTTGTGCTAAATATCCCATGAACTCCACATGGGAGAAAGGCATGCACGAGGTTTATGGGTTTTCCTAAAACTCACTAGGGACTCCTACTTGTTTCTTACAAAAAAGCGTGATGATAGAATCAATTCTAATTCAAGGTCCCCCAAACAGTCAGGAATTCAAATCCTAATACACCCTAACAAGTGTAAAGTACTAGGCTTTTAAAGGGCCATGAGCATTTAAGAAAGGATCCCCTACAATGGGAACACCCTCCTTACAAATAGTACTGTCAATCCTACTCAAAGTACCCACCCCCGGCAATTAAGAGGTAGATTAGGAAATTTAACCCAAAAATAGGGATAGTTCTAAGCACCTCAACATGAAAATCAAATTTCTCAGACCAATGGTTTCACAATAGCTGATTTTCCAAAGAACATATGTGGGCCAGCATTGAGATACTCATATCATTAGAGTTTTGCAATTTAATCAAGAAATATCCATCATCATGCCAGAATATTTCAGGTTTAGCTACATCATTCCAATCATCATCAATGTATCTATGTACAGTAGCAATTGTAGGATAGTACCCAATAACATATAAAACAATAGAGTTTTTCCATTTAAGGCTACCTTCTTGAAGTTCAGCACTCGACCTACAATTGTGCAATAATGTTGCAATCTTTAAGCACAGGGGCAACAAAGGATAACACATATCCTTTAGTAGTGAGCTTTGCAATTCTAAACCACTGGTTAGCCTTCTGAACTCCAAGAACTGATCGGATTGTTCATGTAACTCACCATTCCCTCCAAAATCAGCTAATTCTTTAGTATGACCAGGGTCGAGCCTTGGATCCAATGGAACAGTAACCGGGGAAACCCTACTTACTGGTGGATTGGATTCCTTTGAAATTGAACCAAAATTAAGATCATGATACGCAGCAATAGCCTCGACATCACTATGCGACAACAATCCAAATGATGGATGAACTGTTCCAGGAATTGGAGAAATAATTTAATCCTCTTCATCAATTGCAGTTGGGTTAAATAGAGTTCCAGAACTTCTTAGATTTTTCAGAGTTTTATCAACAGGTGCTAGATTGTTCTTATTAGATGCATTTAAAGGGAGAGGAGTAGCTTGTTTCTTCTTTTTCGCCATGGTTACCGATCTCAAGGAAGAAAAACCATCAAAATCAAAGAACCATGGAGAGGATAAAGAAGAGAGAAAGTCAATGCAAAGTCAATGCCCTCAAATCAGTTATTCAATTTACTATCTTAATTCTCATTCCCATTCAAATTGGTACTTTGACTTTAAAACTTCTTTATAATTTCAAAGTGCCCCAAAGCTTCTAAATTGATGAAATAGAATATTTCCAAAGCCAAATAAATAAATAGAAATGAGTTTTTAAGTGAAATAAACCTTTTAAATTATTAAAACGCCATAAATAATTTATTTCAAATAATTATTAGAATACGCCATAAAATAATACTTTAATTTAATAATGTATAAAAGTACGAGGTATTACATTCAATAGGTTTAATTTTGTGTCAGAGAAAATACACTCTAGACATTATTTCTGAAGTTGGTTTGTTGGGGCTAAACCGAGTGGGTTTTTTATGAACCAAAACCAGAATCTGGACAGTTTCTTGTTGATCCATAGACCAACAATCGTATTGTGGGTCGTTTGAATTTATCTTGGATAGTCACTCTCCCTGATTTGGCATATTTTGTTCATATATAATATCATAGGTTCATCATGCAAGAGCCTCGACTTGAGCATTGGGATGCGGCATTAAGAGTAATTGGTCATTTAATGGGTACTCCTTGTTAGGAAATTTAAATTCACGCCGATGTGATTTAAATTTGCAGGGTTGTTGTGACTTAGACTGTGCGGCATGTTCTCTTACTCGACAATCTTTGACAAGTTCCCTTGCGTTCCTAGGCCAATCACCTATTTCGTGGAAGACAAAGAAGCAACACACAGTAAAATTAAGTTCAGTTCAGTTAAAATAAGTTCAGTTTAGTAAAATTAATTTCAGTTCAGCAAAATTAAGGTGAATCAAACAGGGCCCTACTCTTCTTTCCAAGTTGGAAATTTTTAAAACCCATGCTCCAACTTAGGGCGGGGGTATATTGAGCTATAATAGGATTTTAAGTGAAAATGTTCTTGATGATATTTTTATGTTAACTAAGATATATTTCATTGGTGTTTCCTTATCTTAGAATTACCAAAGACAGTTATTCTAGGTTAGGGATTCTTATCACTTTATTAAGTCTTGTGTTATATATCGACATGATGAATCAATAAGAAGCCAAGCCAAAAGTTTATACAAATTCCCCTCCTTCTATAAAATCAAACACAATACGCACCATGACTTTTTAGTATAGATTATAATGCTTTCAATTTACCTTGTCATATTACACCGAGGAGGTAGAGTTGTTTATCTCTAGGTCGACTAGATGTCTATAAGATTGCTATGACTTTGTATGTACATTATGGGACAAATTCAATGTTATGGCAACGATATTTCGTTACACTATAACATTAAATTAAATAGGTTTCTCCTAATTTCATTCCTATTAGTCATATCTCCATCATCTATAACATCAAAAGTCTTAATGCTAGAGTTATATAAAGCTTACCCTACCCGACTAAACCCTCACTTAAACCAAAAGTTACATTAAGAATCCCCCTTGTGAGTGGGGCTTCCTAATGTTTTTTTTTCTTACCTTAAAGAAAAAAGTGACTCTTTAGCTTTCTACTTGCATGACCCAATCGACAACTAAAACTCTGAAAGTGGCTCTTCAGATTTTGACTTACATGACCCAAACGAACGGATCAAATCACTCAAATTGACACCTCTACCCGTCTTCCACCTTTAAAATAACAATTAAATGAATTTTTTTTCGTCAATTTCTAATTTGTGAATTTAATTATTATTTTTGGCAATATACTTTCGAGATTTCTAAGAAAATACTAGTAGTTTAATAGTGTCCCCCCTCACCAGCGCCTCTCTATCCCCTTCTTCATCCTCTCACCCACTTTCCCCCCTTCTCAACCAGCTAACTCTAATGGCGACGCTCCTTCGAAGCGCCAACTTTCGAGCACCAACACCTTCTCTCGCTTCTACAATCTCTCCGTTAAGATCATTCAATTCTTCCATTTTTGTTAGTTTTAAAACTAAGTGTTACACCAGAAATAGTTGCTTATATACCCACAATTCTCCTTCAAAATTATCAGCTAAAAATGTTCCTTCAAAATTTTTGACCTTTTCTTCTTCTGGTGAAGCTACTGAAACTGAAGAAGTTCAGCAGCCTGAGATCCAGGTAATACCCTTTTCCTGTTTATTTATTTTTTCCCATTTTGTAATGATTTCTTCAAGTTTTATCTGTTAATTCTTTAAATTTAATGTTGCTATTCATTTAGTTGTTGAAGAATGATTCAAGAGTTATAATTTCGTATCAAATTGATAATTGTATATTGTGCTATATATTTTGTGATAGAGAGTTGTGACATGAAATGCGGGTAATTATAATGATGTAGATGGAATTTGATTACAATTCTCGGGTTTTACCCGAGACTTAACCAATGAAGCTGGTTGATATATGCATTGTAAATTACGCTATAAATACATATTTTCGCTTGATTAGTGCCAATTAGACGACCCTTTTGGAGGAGTAATGTTGATTGGGTAGGTTTTTTAATGCCTTTGTTCTTGGGTTACACTCTTAAAGTGTCATTTGAGCCTTTGAAAATCGATGAATTTATATTAGAAACACATGAATAATTAGAAGGACAGGTTGATATTGACTTCTAGATATTGTGCGGCGAGGTTGGATAAATCAATATTGGCCTGCGCTCATTTTGGGTGCAAGCAACCTCAATTGGTATAAATAGGAGTGTTGTTGATACCCTACAAAGCCATTGTGTGACAACACACCACAAATCACAGGGAGCATGTAATGACACCGACTAAGCCCTTAAGCTAAAGTACTGTTCACGATGCTAGTTTTAACCTTCAGTCTTTGATGAATCTTTGTCCTTTTAACAACCACCAAGATGGATGCCAGATCATGTGTCACTGCGAGTTTAGACTTTTCATCCTCCCCGCTTTTCTAAAGTGGTGTATATATATGTATGCAATTACTTCAATTTATTTAGTTGTTTCACGTTCCTTTTTGGGATGTTTGAAAATAGTTGCTCTACATTTCATTTTTTGGTATGATACCCCCTAGAATACTTAGTTATCTTTTGATGATGTAGAGAGAGTTGAATAGTGTTTAGTATGAAGAAGGTAAAATATTTTAGCTTACCATGGTATGCAAGCTTGATTTTGTGATTAAGTATTGTTGGCTGTAAATTGTGAAATAGTTTCGAATTGACATAGTAAATTCAGTGTAACAGATATATGTCTCAATATCAAATTGTATGAATAGGTTGTTTAGTTATTTTGTATTTTCATGAATAGGTTGGTAAGGCTGTATTTTGTGTTACTCTCTCTCTCTCTCTCTCTCTCTCTCGCTCTCTAAATAGCCTCTCTGAAGCAGTGGTAAGGCTGTATTTTTTGGACCCCCTGTATCTGGCCCAGCTGATGTTTATGTTTGTAGTGTGTCTTTTCTCTTCTCTACAATATATAACTTAACAAGAACCAATATTTTTGTATACTGATAATACTGGATGGTAGCCTGAAACTACCTAGTGCATTGATGCATGGTCTTGAAGCATAATGGTGACCATAGATCATGATTTGTGATGTGATCTGGGGTTTACCTGTACTCTGGTCAATTTATTCTTTGCTTGAATACATTTTGTTACAAATTTAGGTTGAAAGGTAGTGACTCGTTTGTATCATTTTACATATTCATGATCTTGTGTTTTGTAACAGGACAATACAGATGAAGGTCTGAATGGTGAAACTGCTGAAGAGGTAGCAAAAGATGATGTCAAACCTGATGCAGATGAAGCTCCCACATCCCCAGTCATAACTGCTTTACAGTTATATAAAGAGGCAATAATTAATAATGATGAGTCCAAAGTTGCTGAATTGGAGGCATTCTTCAAATCCATTGAAGACGAAAAGGACACACTTGAAAGAAAGGTGGCCTCTTTGTCTGAAGATTTTTCAATAGAAAGAGATCGTGTTCTGAGGATTAGTGCAGATTTTGATAATTTTAGGAAGAGAACAGATAGAGAACGCTCTTCTGTGGTGTCAAACGCACAGGGAGAAGTTGTTGAAAATTTTTTGGCAGTTTTGGATAATTTTGAGAGGGCTAAATCCCAGCTCAAGATAGAGTCTGAAGCAGAGGAGAAAATCAACAATAGTTACCAGAGCATATACAAGCAGTTTGTTGAAATTTTAGGGTCAATTGGTGTTGTTCCTGTCGAGACAATCGGAAAACCTTTTGATCCTTTGGTGAGTTCATTTTTATTGATTACGTAGTCCTTAATTTCTGTTAATATGCTGAAAATTTTTGTTTGCTGCTGCTGGAGAAAATAAGCCTCTTCTTTCTGTTTCCCCTGTTTTTTAACCCTGTTCTTCCCTTCTGGCCTGGGTCTTGGACTCTTTGGTCAAACATAGAGGAGCGTGGCTTACCTTTGTACTAGATAGGTTGACAAGCGTATAGCATTTTGTTAAGTAGATGATTTATGGCAGTACTGTAAAATGTTTTGCTTGTGTTACATAATATGGAGCTCCTCCTGAATAACTTGATTGGTTTAGTGATTATGCTGTTTGCTGTGTGGATTAACAGGTGGGCAACCAAGTTGGTATGAATATCAGCCGAGTACTTGGCAAAATGATTCGATTACTCAATCATGGTTTTTCAGGTTTTATGAGGACCTGGATACGTTCATAACTCAAAAATCCAAGTATTTCTTGATTTTCTTGCCAACTTGGTGAGTCCACCTAGATATATGTACCGTGCTGGAAGTATGCCCGTGTCACGTATGAAGTTGTCTCAGGTTATTGTTAGATCCCATATTTTACCTTTTCTTAGTTCATATTTGTCTAACATATTTTTCAATCACGATTTTGTCAAAAGCTGCATGAAGCCATCATGCGAGAAGATTCCACAGTATATGATGAGGGTGTTATAATCGAAGAATATCGTAAAGGGTTTAAGCTTGGTGATAGACTACTACGTCCAGCTATGGTTAAAGTATCCGCAGGTCCAGGACCAGAAAAGCCTGAACCCATTGAGTCATCAGTACAAACGGAGGGTTCAACTGACGACAGTGATGATGTTAGTGAGGAAGGTGATTCAAAGGACCAGGCAACTCCTTAAGTACACTTTTGTTAGATTAGGGGAGAGTTTGAGCAGCTTTTAGTCGGGTAACAGTTGTTTTCGCTGCTGTATTAAAGATCTATTGTTATTGTTGTTCTTCTTGATCATGAGAGAACAAAGATTGTAGAATTTTTTTGTCCAGAATTTCTGAGAAGATAGCTATAGATACGCTAAATGAATGCGTCATTTGCCTTCAACTTTGGTGAACCCAAAAAGATAGAACTTTGTATTAAGATTTGGAGGATCATTTTATTGTTCCACATAATGTATGCAGAATACATTATTTTTACGGTTATTTCACAAGGTATCTTTAGGTATAAATGTGAATATGTTATAATCTTTTATGATAGGTGCTAATGTACGAAATAACACTGATGACCGATGTTGTTTGATGGACGTTAAAAGGTGAAATACCTTTAAGAGCATAAATCTTGTTAAGGATGCTCAAATCCTTTTCCATTTTCTCTCTCCTTTCCACCACTTGACACACCACACTCTCTTCCCTCTATACCACTTTCCACTATCTTCGTTGGTGCCTTTTGTATTCTCAAATACATTACTCCCTCCATTTCAATATGATAGTATCATATGGAATCAATCATATAAAATAAGAAAAGGATAATATTTAAAATCTAACATTAAAGTAAAACTAAATTTATAAATAGTTTTGCCTTATTTAAATTTTTTGATTTTTTTTAGAAAAGCACTAGGTAGGTTAGTCTATATTGTATGGACCCGGTCCACATAAAAATAATGTGGACCGAAGCCCATGACTTTTACCCCAGCAAGAAAGAAAACAACAAAAAAACCGTACAAAATTAAATCATGCATAAGTGTTCTTCACTTTCGCTCTAAAATTGCTTGAAAATTCTCAAATAATTTGAGGATCTTTTCTCTCTCCTCTCAACAATTTATTTTGCAAAAAAACATCTCAAATTCTATATCACAAGATCAAATTGAGCAAAATCAGTATATATATGAAGACGATCTACAATTACAATCTATGTTCAAACTTTGATTTGAACAAATTCTATGCAATCGAAAGCAATTACGAAGGTAAACAACAATATTTTTGTTAAAATTCGTTCAAATTATACCAAAGTTGTTGATAATTGTTATTGTTTGAAATATAGAAAACTTAAATAATCATCCAATTGAATTTAGAATAATTCAACAAGAGTAGAAGATGCGAAACAAGAAGTAATACAAGTAGAGGATGATAATGGAGTACTTGTAGATCTGGTTGAGGAGGAAAATCAACATGTATTATAAGGTCAAGCAGAGATCGATTATAATCAGTTTTAATTTGTTATAATCAATTTTGATTTGGCATAATCAGTTTTGTATCGATATAATCAGTTTTGATTTGGTATAATTTGTAGGGCTGGCAAACAGGTCGGGTTGGGTTGGGTTCGGGTTGACCTGTTTAATAAACAGGTCAAGACCCCCCAACCTGAACCCGACCTGTTTACTTAAACAGGTCAGAATGGCGAACCTGAACCCGACCTAGTTTAAATGGGTTGACCTGATTTCAACCCGTTTGACCTGTTTTTTTTTTTTTTTTTTTTTAAATAAAAACCCGATTATTCTTACAATATAATGATAAAAAAAAGTCGTATATTTAACTTGTTATTTTGCATAAAACTTTGCTGTATAAACCTATCAATTTAAGCATAATAAAAATACATTCAAGTAAAAGTAACCATAGTTTACACATAATAATTTACTGTACAGTCCAAAATCAAAATCAATGTCTTAAGGAGGCAATATTCCCAACAAAATAAAAATTAGATCTTGGAAAACTTCATCAGGTTTGACTAGTTGGTCTTGCTACTGACTTTGAGGTGCGCTCTCAAATGGGCTTGGTGTATTGGCTTCATCATTCACCTTCATTATAAACAAAGAGCATAATACAAAATCCTGATCAACTTGTAAAATGCAAAAAATAATCTAATAAAAATGAAAAAACAAAGTAACAAATGCATGCATAGAAATATAAATGAAAAAAAAAGCAACATAATCAGATTATTCCCCAATTTATCCAAAACAAAGCATCATAAATCGAAAAAAAAAACCCAAACACAGCCGAAACTTCTTTATTTTTCATACTATTCACCAAATTAGAAAGTCTCAATCAACATTTCTTAACAACACTAAAACAGATGATTGTAAATAGAATGAAATGCATGACTATATTACCGTAGTAGGCGAAAAATTTGAAGATAAACAAGTTTGAAGTTGCAATTTTGATAAACAAGCTAGATATAGAAAGAAGAGAGAGGTGAGAGAATAAGATGGGAAAATAGAGATGAAAACGGCTGAACAAGTGGGAAAATGACTAGAAGAAAAAATAGGGTTTTCACTTTTTGGGTTTTTTTGTACTCTATAGGCTTTGACATAGGTTGGGCTTTGTCCAAATAAAAATACTAAGGCCTAATATCATTTTACTAATATAGGGTTATATGGGTTGGGTTCGGGTTGACCCGACCTGAAACCAACCCAATTAGTTAAACGGGTTTAGGCGGGTTATTTTCGGGTCGGGATTGTCAACCTAAACCTGACCCATTTAGTTTCGGGTTGGGTTCAGGTCGACCCAATTACATAAACGGGTTGAAAACTTTGCTCATAACCCATTTATTTCGGGTTGGGTTCGGGTCGGGTCAGTTTTTGCCAGCTCTAATAATTTGTATTGATTAGATATAATTATCTCTAATTTCGTGTTATCTCATTTAATTCTAATTACTTCTAAACTTACTTTTGAGTAGTTGATGTAGTGAACAATGCTTCACATACGACATAATCAATTTGATAGGATATAATCACTTTTTATTTCTTAAAACCACAGTTGGTTTGATATAATCACTTTTCATCTTTTAGAATCACGTTTAGTTTGATATAATCATTTTTTAGTTTAATATAATCACTTTTTATTTTTCTTTGATATGATCATATTTAATTACTCCATTTTAATGAAATTTCACCTTTACTTCCCACCGACATGGTTGATTTTAGTCTTCACCATAGTACGTAGAAGCGTAGTGCAGGCTCTACCGAGAACATTAAAGAGAGATAAGATAAAGGTAGGAGAGAAAGAAGCGCGTGATAAAGGTAGGAGGAGCATAAATTATAGTGTAGAGTGTAGAACGCATGATAAACTCATATAATATTTACTCGGTCTACAATAATGTTAATGTAGACCGGGTTTATTATAGTGTTTATCTAGGTGTGAAGCCCGTGCGTTGCACGACTTTAATTTTAATATTATTTTAGATTTGTGTCTTATTATATAATAACTAGCATTTTGGCCCGTTTAATGCACGAGTTGTTACTTGGGTTAATTATTTTCATATATAGATATGATTTTCAAAGATTGAAACTTTTGATATTATATACAAAGTAATTGTTTCATTGCTAAAACTAAAGAGATCGGAGTAGAACTGTGAAAGAAAATGAAGGAATTTGGTTAGGTATATATACAATGAAGATTATGGGATACATAGATGAAAATACACTTTTTACTATAATTCATATATTTATGTAATGTGTACTAATTATAGTGGAAATGAAACACTTCATTATTAATTTTCTTCCTTAAATTTGCAAGTTATAGAATGCATAAAGACTTAAACAAAAATACGTAGTATTAAGGGATGTGACATATGACATATGGGGTAATGACTAATGAGTGAATTTTGATGACATGTGTCATGTGAAAGTTATGTGGTTTATGTTTTTAAATATTAAAGTATAGAAGTATAGATAATAATTATTAAAAATTGATAAAATCATAAACTAAAAGACATTTTATTATTATTATTATTATTATTATTATTATTATTATTATTATTATTATTATTATTATTATTATTATTATTTGTTAAATATGGAAGAGGAAATATAGAGAGATGAGGGAAGATTGTTATGTTGTATTTCATATTTCATCTAGTACGGGATATATATAATGTACATTACCTAGGGTTCCATCAATGGATAAGACCAAATACCCAACTCTAGAATATTCTAGATTGGACATGGGATAATAGTCATCCGTATTTAGATATTATCATAACACTCCCCCTTGGATGACTATATATTGAATAAAACAATAACTAACATCTACTACAAAACCCGTACAAAATAATACACTATAATGCGCATAAGATGCTGCCTCGTTAAAAACCTTACCAGGAAAACCCAGTGGGAAAAAACCATGGTTAAGGAAAAAAGAGTGCAGCACGCATTAACTCCCCCTCATGACTACATCACTTGAGATCTTTAAGACGACGCAATCCAATGCCGTAAGCTAACTTTTTGAATGTTGCTGTCGGAATAGCCTTAGTAAATAAGTCTGCTAAATTCTCACTTGAACGAATCTGCAATACATTTATATCTCCATTCTTCTGAAGATCATGAGTGAAGAAAAATTTGGGTAAGATGTGCTTTGTTCTGTCGTCTTTGATGTATCCTTCCTTAAGTTGAGCAATACAAGCAGCGTTATCCTCATATAAAGTTGTTGGTGCCTCTTTCCCAGATGATAAACCACAAACTTCTTTTATATGTTGAACTACCGACCTTAACCATACACATTCACGACTAGCCTCGCGAATTGCTAAATCTCAGAATGATTGGAAGAAGTAGTTGCAATGGTTTGTTTCATGGAACGCCAAGAAATGGCAGTACCACCATATATGAACACATATCCAGTTTGTGACCGACCATTATAAGGATCAGATAAATAACCTGCATCTGCAAAACCAATCAAATTTTCTTTGGGAAACTTTGGGAAAAATAAACCCATATCCTTCGTACCTTGAAGGTAACGAAGTAAATGTTTAATCCCATTCCAATGCCTTCGGGTTGGACATGAACTAAACCTTGCTAATAAATTAACTGAAAATGATATATCAGGTCGTGTATGGCTTGCAAGGTACATTAGTGCTCCAATTGCACTAAGATACGGTACTTCAGGACCAAGAATTTCTTCATCATTTTTCCGAGGTCGGAATGGACCTTTCTCTACTTCAAGTGATCTTACAACCATAGGGATGCTCAATGGATGTGTTGTATCCAAAGAAAATCTTTTAAGAACCTTTTCTATGTATGTTGATTGATGCACAAGGATTCCATTCTCTAGGTGCTCTATTTGTAACCCCAAGCAGAATTTTGTCTTTCCTAAATCTTTCATTTCAAACTCTTTCTTTAAATAATTCACAGTCACTGAAATCTCTTCAGGAGTTCCAATGATATTCAAATCATCAACATACACTGCAATTATAACAACTCCTGATCCAAATTTCTTTATAAAAATACATGGGCTGATAGGATCATTCTTATAACCTTCTTTCAACAAATACTCACTTAGACGGGTATACCACATACGTCCAAATTGTTTTAATCCATGAAGAGATTTGTTCAATTTAATACAGAAATGTTCTCGAGAACTAGATTTTGCTGCTTCCGGCAGCTTGAATCCTTCTGGGAGCTTCATGTAAATGTCATTATCCAGTGGGCCATATAAATAAGCTGTGACTACATCCATCAAATGTAAGTCAAGTCCTTCTCTTATTGCCAGACTAATCAAAAATCTAAAAGTAGTTGCATCTACCACAGGAGAATATGTCTCCTCATAATCAATACCAGGTCTTTGTGAGAATCCTTGTGCAACTAAGCGTGCCTTATATCTTACAACTTCACCCTTTTCATTTCTCTTTCGCACAAAGACCCATTTATATCCCACTGGCTTTACACCTTCAGGTGTACGGACTACAGGTCCGAATACTTCTCTTTTTCCAAGAGATTTTAATTCTGCTTCAATTGCTTCTTTCCATTTTGGCTAATAATTTCTTTGTCTATATTCTTCAATGGATTTTGGTTCATGATCCTCATTATTATCCATAACATCTAATTCTACATTGCATGCAAAAACATCATCGACGTCGATTTGATTTCAGTTCCATGTAATTCCAGACATGATATAATTTATTGAAATTTCTTCATTATCAGGTACCTGTATTTCTTCTGGAGATCCTTCGGAAATTGTTTCTTCAATTTGACCATCATCAATCAATGCTCCTTTTCTTTTCCGAGGATTCTTTTCTTTGGAACCTATCGGTTTTCCACGTTTCTGGCGTGGTTTAGACTCATTAGCAATTTTATTTTGTCCTTTTGGAACATATATTTTAAATGGAGCATTAACAGCTAGAATATGTGACTTGGTCACTCTTTTGGGTCAGCAAACGAGTTTGGCAATTGATTCGCTAAACTTTGTAAATGAATTATCTTTTGAACTTCCAGTTCACATTGTTTAGTTCGAGGATCAAGATAGGATAATGATAATTCATTCCATTTAATTTCATTTTCCAACTCTCTCTTTTCTCCCCCTAATGTTGGGAAAAGTGACTCGTTAAAATGACAATCTGCAAAACGAGCCGTAAATAAATCCCCTGTTGTAGGCTCAAGATGTTTAATTATTAACGGGGATTCAAACCCAACATATATCCCTAACCTCCTTTGAGGACCCATCTTAGTGTGTTGTGGTGGAGCTATTGGAACATAAACCGCACATCCAAAAATTCTTAGATGGGAAATATTTGGTTCCTGACCATAAACCAATTGTAATGGGGAGAACTTGTGATAACTTGTTGGCCTAATGCGAATTAGTGTTGTTGCATGTAATATAACATACCCTAGCATGTCACTAAGCAATAAAAATCAAAGCTTTAACCCTAACATGATACTAACAATCATGAATATTAGGAAGAGAATAAAAGCATCATAACAATCATATTTAATATTAAAATTACCCCAGACATGATACTAGGAATATCATAATAACAATTTAAACATGATTTCTACATCATAAAATCAATAAATCAATTAAAGCACTTACTTTGATGCCTCGTACCTCTTTCTAATTACAAAATACACACGTTAGTAACTTCAAGGAAAATAATAAATCAAACAACTAAATTAAATAATTGAAAGAGAGATTTGGGACCAAACCCTCAGAAATTAAAAACCTTTCACATCTAGGGCGAAGGCAACTTCGAATATGGCTAGGTGTTTCTAGATCTTGTGAATGCGGAATTTAGTATGTAAAAAGCAAAGTAAGAAGAAAGAATTGAATGATTAAGAGAATGCTAATTAAAACTGATTGTAGGTGAATGATGGATGTAGATGATTTATGAAAACGGAGTTTTTAATACGATATTTATAGAGAAAATCAGCCAAAAAGATAAATTAAACAAAACAGAGTCTGACGCACAAAAAACAGAGCTGGCGCCACCCTTGGCTAACTAGCGCCAGGCACCAACACTAGCGCCAGGCGCCAATGGCTAGCGCCAGGCGCCAAGGCATGGGGTTAGGCGCCAAGCCTGATTTTAACGCGTTTTCGAAAAT